ATTCCTGCATGTTTCCCTTCTAGTTACCCCCTTTGTGAACTCAACGGCACGGCTTCCGGTGATTCGGTTCCATCAGCACCGTGGGATGATCAACTCATTCGGACAATCGCTTGCTCGCTTCAGTTGCGGTCACGTGGGATTTTCTCTCTTTAACGTTTACAAACTATATCCATACCGAGGATTATATTTGTGTGCACTGTTCATGCATCCAGCCCCTGTTTTCTACAAATATTGAATCGTTTATGTATGATATTTGTACTAGCGCGACAGAATCTGAACAGCCTTGATGTGATAAGCTTCGATAGAAAACACCGTATTAACGGTTCCCACCACATTGGGAACGACAGAGCAGACGAAACTAATTACCTCAGTGTACTTTGCTGAGCGTATCGTCGAATGCTAGAACTTGGTGTCAAATTCTAACAAGATAAATTTCGGCAGAAAGATGCAAAATTTGAGATATACCGATGACTGGACAACGAAATAGTGGTCAACGAAGTAGTGGTCTAGTAAAAATATAATCATACACTAGTGTTTTAGAACATCGTAAGGGTATGTAAAATACCCACCGCCACCACTGTAAGGAAACACCTCTCAAACATCATCAAAACCGAGAGATTCAGCTGGGTTCCGGGTGATTCTATCGAAAAACCAAATTAGTTTGAAAATGAGTGCGTATTAGCTAACCCCTGAATGGTGTTAAAATAGTTTACCGATCGGCATATTCAGGCAAATTTATATCCGTGCACGTGTTCAGTAGCTTATGTCACAGGCGGTTTCGTTGTTGACTTATACGCAAGTGAATGCAATACTCCCTGATCATACGAAATCACCACCTTTCTTCACCTATGGACTTTTGCAGGCAAGTTTCCGATTGTACCTTTCGCTATGCTGTCATTCTACCACGCGGATTACGCTGATTCTTTAAGATGCACCACACGACTCATCCGTTACATTGTTGATGCGTCTGCGTTTTGGTCATATTGTTGTGTTCCTGAACGACTCTAACAACAAGTCCTTTGTGGCTCCACCAAATCCGTCACAAATTCGAGGTTTATCGGTCGACCACTCTCGTATGAGTAGTATCACTAGAATAAACCCCTATATAAGCTAGTCCGAACACAAACGTTCTGCTTGACTAGTCGACTACCAGTACGTTCAGGTTTCATAGATGTGTTTGATCGCCATACGGTGGGGTCATCTGACACCACTCGGGGGGAGAAAAGCGCTCTTAGTAACCACAATCGCTGCAAGGATGTTTTTAGTTGGTGGTAGGGGTATACCAATTCCCTTCGTCTGTTTTCGGAAAGCAGCTTGAGTCTGGACGCAACCCGGTGGCGGAAGAGGATGAGACGAAAATAGAATATTTCTCACTTCAACCATTGTTAGTTCAATCAGGCATTTCATAGAATGATACTTTTGCTTCAGAGAAATCCCTCAATGCCACTCAACAGCCCAGCGTGACGAATCCAAGTGGTCTGGCGAATTTTTGAAATTGCGCGGAATAGTGTGAGCCTATTGTCCATATGTCAGTGCTCGCATCTCACCCAGTTAGACTACACAGAAGGCAGCTTGACCGGAAAGGCATATCACGTCGCATAACTACATTTTGCGCAGCAGTACTGAAGGTTGAAACCCCGAGACCACTAATAGCATGAATTTGCTGGTCGTTGGCTTGTTCGCTGAGCTGGGCAATTTGGTTGCAAATGTTCCATCACCAATCGAGGTGACATCGTCAGTGCGTAGTGGTGGGTTAGTGGTTGTTGTTGAACAGCATATGCCAAGTGGGAAGTGAAAAAATAATATCCTGCGCCTCCTTCTTGTGGCTCCGATTATCTGAACTTTGTTGGTGAGCTTCGTAGTCAATATTCTCAAAACTCACCGCCGTCACATTTTTCAGAGAACAAGCGGTTAAGTTACAACAACCGCCTACTGAACTTCAGCTGGTATTAATGCATAAGCCTAGTTCTTCACCGATGAGGGGAATAGACTAATTTGTTTTCGTGTACTGGACAGCACCAGCTAGGGCATGAGAGTTAAGCAGTGGTGTACACAAGTGATCTGGACAGACGAGATCGAATTTCGACGTAGTCAGACGTTAGTAGATGGAAAACATGGAGGCTGTAGTAATCGATACACCAGTACTATTGTTAGGGTGATTGAGACGCCGTACATTTTGAGCTTATCACTTCTGTCTAAATCGTCAGTTTGTCCGCGGTCGACTCACGACGTCTTTTAACCACACTTGTTCCGTCGCGAGGAAACCAGATCTTATCGTGGTGCGATGGTTTGCGTATCGCAGCAACCCTTTGAGCTATACTGGAACAGTCATGCAGTAAGCATAAGCACCTCAACCTACCATGTGGTGTCGTGAAAGCGGTCTGTTCGGATGACATCAACCGTAGCTGGTAAGAGCTAAAAATCCCGTCGGAGCCGCAGAATAAGAATCTTACATGTTTCGGCATCTGGATCGCTGGGCAGAATAACTTCAAAAGATTTAGTTGGCCATCAGCTTCTATACCTACGTCTGTCATTTGACAAGCTCAACTCAACTCAAGTTCTGTTAGTTTCGAATTTCATCCAATTGATGAGGTGCAAATATACTTGTTTGCACCTCCGAAACCAGATGAAATCCCACTAGCACTACTCAGAGATGTTACTGTCGTGCGTTTGACATCAACCAGTGTCCGAACTTAACTGCTGCAAGCAACTGAGACCAATTAATTATTATACCACTACTAAGAAGGTACGCTAAACAACTGTCCCTGCCAGGGTTGTAGATCATATGCCCCTCACAACGCTACTGCTGGTCTTAACGATACTGTGACGCTCATCATCGGCACGTGAGATGCAAATCCAAAAGCAACCAACAGGAATTCGTCTGGACAGGGTGCGAAATGATCCCATGTTCACACTAGGTTAAATGCTTGAGTACTATACATACATCGAAGGAGCCTTTGACTCCATGAAGATAAGTCCCTCCCCATACAGTTGGCCAAAGAGGAATATCCCAGAATTTCGTGATTATAATCCGTGCCCACAGCCCCAAAAATTCTGCCCATGCAAGGTTTAAAACGACCTGTCTAAAAGTAATCCTACAAGCAGTGGAATTCGGCAAGTACGCGTTCTCCCTTTCTGTTCCAATTAGTTATCAATGTTATAATGAAACACAAGTTTGAATGAATTGAGGCTCTGCAGTCTACCCTAATTAGAATCCCGATGGCAGTCTGTTGTTCCTGTATGCATTTTTCACCTCCAAAATGTAAAGTACCGCATCAAGATTTCTAATATGTCTGTGCGCATCTGAAACAATGGAAGCGGTTCACTTAGCATTCCAACGTCGTGACAGAGGTCGATGCAAGCATCACCTGAGCGCGGTCAGTCTGCAAATATGCCTCAGAATTAGACATGAATGTCGCTGTTTACAACGCACCCGTGGGGACAGTTCAACAAAACAGTTAGGAAATTCTTTCCCCACGATTCGAGCATAGCAAACGGATTTCACCATCATCGACAGCATGACATCACCATCGGTACCTCCGCAGCATAGGAGGCATTAGTTTGCTGCATCGTGCTCGCAATGAAGTGTGTGATGAGTCAAAACCACTAGAGTGGGACCAATCAGGTCACGGTAGTTCGAATATACGGTACACATGCTCGACCATTGCCAACCAAATAAAGGATGATTTTTAGCTCCAAACTCTACTAGGCGAAAGACCCATCGGTGACAGACCGTAAATTGGCAGTCCCAGACGAAGGCTGCTGAATGCCGTGAGATCTTGGCATCCTCCTAGTTGAAGTCCGTGATTCTCCTTGCGCCTGTTTAGAAATATTACATGCATGGGACATGCACGCTGGGCGAAGACACTCTCACCTCCTATTCTGAATGCCTTGCCAAAGTGTTTATCGCTGTACAGTGGGCTCACACCGAATGAGGTTCATCAAGAACGTTGGGTAGTCCCAACCTATAACGTCTTACTTCGATATGGTGCTCAAATACGTTTATCTCTTTGCTGTCCCACTGTGTAGGTATCTTGTTTTTTTAACGTTTCAACAAACATACAAGGTCATTCCCTATATGCCTTATGCCCTTCCCTCTTCTTTCCACTCTTCACTAGGGTACGGTAGCTTTTGCTTGGGAATGTAAGTTGCCAGTTATTCACTTGGTAGCTGATGCAGATACAACCTGAATGAAAAGCGGGTCACTTATTATCTATCTCCGCTCACAGACAACTGGTGAGTTCATTCTACGAGGTGGGGTCGATTTCGCTCTTTTAGCTACACAGTTCATGAGTGGACGCCTGACGCTCGCCGTTCATGTCGAGACGTTTGCAGTGAAGGCTACATTCCGAACTATGTACTCATGCTCAAAAGCCGACTTTCCGATCGCAGTCACGTACTCTTATCCGTGAAATTCGTATCTATAAAAATGGTATACCCAAATACTCCTATCCACCTGCAGGTTTGCTCCTCGCTTTCTCTCAGACTAAACTAATACTTTGGGCAGCTGAGTCACACTGCTACAAAAAAGAGTAATATACTAAAACAAAGCTTTCAAAGTGCCAGTGGTTACTTTCTGATATTCTGGCAAACTCCAAGGGAAATGCCAGAAAAGTCAAATTCGTAAGTCAAGAACAGACTTCACAAATATCTGTGAAGTCTCACTTTCGTTGTGTTTGCCTGTTATACATTTGTGTTGAATTGCCAGTCTAGAGGTAAGCGAATTCTTATCTCGTGAATAACTAAAAAGAGCACATGTTAGCACGAACTTTTGTAGTGGCTGTTGGATGGTACACGAAAAAACGCATGATAATCATGAAAGAAGACATAATAGTCGCGAATGGATGAAATGCACGGAAGACAAATGAAGCGAAAGTAAAACATAAGTACATGTTCTATCGAGTGGCAAAGCATGTGTAAGTCAACTATCGAATGGGATGAACAAAGAGAAAATGGCAAGTAATACTTTAGACCTAATGTAGCAAGGGTTTCACGATTTATTCACGTGATTTCGATTCCAAATGAGCGGAAGAAGACATAACATTGGGTCTCACGGCCACAGCAACTGCGGATTCGGTCAGTTTTGCTACGTTGTGATAAGCGCTCCGGATCAGTGAGTATGGGAAGCAAGCCTCCTGTAGACTGTGGGAGAGGCAGGGAGACTGACGGACAAGATTATCAAACAAGATGTAGATAGAGTCCCTGTGTTTAGCTGGGAGCACGGCTGGACTGTTCGAACTGGAGGTCGATGTGGGCAAGGAATTGCCACAGACATCACCAGCTAGGACTGAGGAGGACGTCTCTAGTCCGAGTCGTAACAGATTAGATGACACCAAAGCTAGAAATTCCTTGGACCGAGCTTCCAAGTCACCGGGTCGGAGTAAGGAAAACATGGCAACCTGAAATTATACGATAAAGTAGATTTACACGATGAAGCCATCGAATGTATCAAACAATGTGCAAGGAAATGCGGTAAATTGCGTGACACTCACCCAACAGATAGATATGGAAAACGGACAAACACAAACCAGCGGAGCTTCCTTAACAACCACGTCCAACGGACGGGTGACAGTAATTAATATTCTCTCGTCTACCATAATTTGTCTGAAATGCTATGGAGCTAGGACATTTGCAGAACAACAGAGTTTTGTAGTATCCAAAAGAACCAACACCACTTGTCCAACAGTCGGGCAAAAAAGCGTCCCTTCGTTCTCCGCCTCCGTCAGCCAGCAGATAAAAATTGCAGTCTCGCACACTGATAGTATCCGCTCGACAGAACTGTGTACTGAATCCTACCCTGCTAACTAGTAACTAGTGGCGTGAATGAGCGTTACATAGCAGATCGATACCAACCGATTACGAACCACAGGCACAATGACAATTTCAGTAGACACCAAACCACTGGAGATAGAAGACAGTAAATTAAAATAGACGGTTAATAATATTCCAAACGCATTTGAAAACTATTCCCGACCTAAACCTGTCACTTTTTCGTGGTAGTTTAATTACAGTGCTGTAATGATCCTGAGGGCAATACTGATTGGAACTCAATACTCAAATTTTCAACCATGCCAGGAAGACCAAGGTGGAGCGACCCGACGAAGAACAGCGAGTCCTTGGACTGCGAGTAATCGTACTACAAGGCGGTCAGGAGGAAAGTCGTGAGAGCGCTAAGGCGCTCCCCCCCCCAGGCGACCAGCATTTCAGTATTCACAGAAGCAGTGATGCTGTCTCTCCCGAGGTAGGACGAGCAGTAAAAGGTTAGCCCTAAAAACCGCACACCAGGATCGCCCAAAAGTTGACCATGACCCGCCGAAATGATCCTACAACCAGAGTCCGGTGATGCTCAAAAGGCGGCTGTTGCGCGCAGCCACATAAAAAGTGAGACAGTGCATGACTTCCAGCGTTCTCGGGCCAGGACGAAAAACTGCAGCCAAAAGGACAAGACCACTGAGTCATTGGCTCAGAAAAGGGTCTCTAAATAAAACCCTAACAACCACTGCCTCGCAGCCAGAGGCTACGGGCAGGAGCCCCGAACAAGAGCTCAAGGTGCGGTACTTCAAACAAAGCAGTTTTCACGGCCTGGACGACCGGGAAGTATCGTTCACCCTTACAGTTCTTTGCTTATCGGCCTTCTCCACAACCCCATCCCACCGATCGGTTGATGCAGTTCAATCAACCCACCATTCAGTGTCTAAACCTTCGCCCCAAAAAACAAATCAAGATAATAACTTATAACCCCAAGAGATCTGATCCACGTTGCAGCTTTTAATATCCAAACCCTATGTCAAATTGGTCAACGGGCGTCTGTTACCGGAAGCTTACTATGCTTCACCGAAGTAGGCATATAAGACCCCACTTCGACCGTGAACCTCAACCCGCTTTGGACGACCTCAAATGTTTCTTATTTCACTGTTCAGGTATCTGGTGAACTTGACGCAATGGCTCGGGATGTCTACGGTTTGAGAGTTGCACCCAGTCCCAAGACTAAGAGCGCCCTACTGGACTGGACCCCAGTAAACGGTCGTCTTCGCGCTGTGCGGTTGTCTGGTTCAATTAAGATCATTACAGGTCGATGCGATAAACAGTTTTCATTTACTGTATTAGTCGTAAGCGACTGCAGTTCTGCAACTAAGGACGGCTTTCATGGAGATTTGTCGCGACTGTTTCGGTCAGCAAGAAGGACGGATCTAGTAATCGTGGCAGGCGGACTTCCAAGTCCGGGAGAAGCACAGTTAAATGGAAGATTTGGTGTTGATGCTTAGCTTACGGATGATGGGGGCGAATGCTTCAAGTGTGTGCTGATTACCGTCTGTTTCTGGCCAGCACAAAATTCCAGGACAAACGCACACACCGAGTCACTTGAAGTCCATCAACTGTACTCATTTGGACAATGTGACTATCAGTTACCGATGGAGAGCCTCAATTACTGATTGTTGTCTCTTCTGGGGTACGTAACTTGACATTATGCGAGTCTTGATATCATTTCGTTTTCCGTCGATATCATGCATGCCAAAGCAAACTACTCCATCCTTCAACATCGACAATTTTCAGTAGCTCAGTAGTATCGGGCTGATCTGGCCAGAAAGCTATTGGATAACGAAGACTGCGTGGAGGTTGAATGGAAGCAGGTTAAAGAAGCTATGCCCTTATTTAAGCTTTCTGACTGGACTAAACGAACATTGGATGTCGTCGAGAACAATAGGTCTTACTGCTGCCGGAAATGCCATAACAGTAACTATCGACTGTGATGCGGACGCAGATCCATCAACCATCAAATAATCAGGAGCTTGAAAGATGACCGATGATGCAGGGGGATTTCAATGACCCGTGAGATGGAGAAGACTTCCGCTGCAGACAACAACTGTGCCCTATTTCAGCTGCTCCGAGTAACCGATCAAACGAAGACAGATGCCGGCGATATGTTATGCGAAAAGGACGGAACGGCTACTCAGTCACGAAATCCTCGTCTTGAGCGATGAGCTGAACACTTCAAATAACAGTTTAGCTGGAATACCTCAGTACCACCGCTAAAAGAACCCAATGGGCCTGAATGGGACATCGACACCAACCCCCATCAACGACAAAAGTCCAATGTGAGATCAAAACGACAAGGCATCCCACCTAGATGGTCTACATCCCGCACTCAAGAGAGAAGGTAGTGAAGTCCAGGTGAACCGTCTGATGACCGTAACACAGAAAATTTGAAAACGGAAACAGAATACCGGTGGAGTGGAGCGTCTCGAACATCATCCATGTTTTCAAAACACCGCAAGGACATCCTGCGAAAGATATTGTGACATCAGCCTGGTATCTGTTGCATCTAGGGTGCCCTTTGGCACCATTTTGCACAGGTTGATCGGTTATCGGAGACTCAAACCGGGTTTCGCCCTGGCCGAGGACGCGTCAACCATATTTTTAACTATGAGACAAGTTATTGAACAGAGCCACTCTTTCAAACATCCTATGCTTCTCGTTTTTCTTGATCCGAAAGCTACCTTGGATTTTGGCAATCGTCTGAAACTCTGGCGGTGTCTGGCGATTAAGGCATCTCTTCCAAATTCGTATCCCTCATGAGGGCACCGTATGCGGACTACTGTGGTCGGGTACGAGTACACGGCAAGCTCTCACCTGAGTTCACTACGTCCAAATAGTGTAAGACAAAGCTACCCTCTCACGATTTCCCCTCAGCCCTCCAACTTTTTTATTGATATGCTGCTTCGAATTACACTGCCTGCCTCTGAAACTCTGGTGTTTAAAATTTTTCCGGGACGTCCGCCCACAGACATTGATTATGCGAACGATTTTGCTCTCTTTGGTTCAGATCTTTCAAAAATGCATACCTTTTAACATAGCCCACATAATTTCGCAGGTTTGACATGCGCTTCACACCTGCAAAGTGTGAAGTGCTGCTACTAGACTGAGTGGGATCAAAACCAAACTTCGTGCTTGCAGACGAGCCAATCGACATGGTAGATAAATTTGTTTGCCTGAACAATTGTATATGTGCCAGTGAAGTGGCTGGAGATGAGATTACTTCTCGATTCAGGAGGCCCGGAGCAGCTTTTGCCACCCTCTGACACCTACGGCTCCGATATGACGTCCGTTTTTCTGTCAACAGCAGAGTCTGCACTGCGGCAGTGCGAACCATACTGCTTTAGGAAAGAAAAACGTGACCTCTACGCGCAGAGGATATACGAAAGTTGTCAGTGTTTGACCATCGGTGTCTCCGAAGCTCTGTTCGGTTTTGGTGGGAATATCGGATTAATAATGTTGGGATGGGCTGGATGGTTTTAAGGAGAAGGAACTCTCCCGCGACGACAGAAGAATTACTTAGGCTTCATAGGTACGGTGGTTAGGGCATGTACTGCGCACGCCAGAAGACCGGCAAGATGGCTCAGTAGTTGCAGCCCGAATCTACTGACCGGAAGGTTCGTGGTTCGAACCCAACCTCTGCCTCTCGACTTCCTCTGTCTAGGCTTGGGCAACCTGGCAGTATCCCAGCCCTTGTGCTTCCTTCGTTTGGGATGGCATTTAGGCGGACGAATGCCCGACCTAAGAACCAGTGAGAGAGGCGGGGAAAACATACTCATTGAACTCATATCCGTGTCGTAAATCGCGGAAATGACGCGCAACAGCAGACTATGTGTGCAAGCAAATCAGTTCGGCCGGAGTGCACTTGTGGAAATGTGACGAAAAACTGCACCACACCATGGGTTTAAAAATTTACGAAAACGCAATGTCCGGTTTTGGATCCGGAATGATCATTAGGATGAACAGCGAAGCAGGGACTTACCATCAACGCATTTACAGAGTAAGCAATGCAGTGACAATTGTTCTCATTCGCCTCCAAGTCCAGATGATACAAGCTATTCTCCTGCCTGGCTAGCCTCGGTAGGGCATTAGCCACGAACACGATGAAAAGACATGCTATATGGTAGTCCAAATCCGGGTACATGACGGCTGGACTGGCACCGCCTCCTGCTGCCGCAGCTTGGCTGGCAGTAAGTAGCATAGCCTGGCGACGGCTATTCAGTAGAGCGCACAGACTATAATCCAGATCGGAAAGAACACCCATACTAGAAGAAAGATTTATCAGAACAAGTTGCGAATTCAGGCGAGCGTAGATAGTTTCCATTTCATCCCTGGGCGCAGTCGCCGAAACCGGCCCCGGAGACTGAGGAATAAGTTGACCACCAGATTGCCGAGTTACGTAGTTTCGCAGATTTTGCACAGTCGATAGCAAGAATGGCGTTCGTCGCTACAATAAAAAAGAGGGAACGAATGAGCATCAATGATATGGATCGCATATTGTTCGGCGCTTTTACAACAGGAGAAATCACAGATTGAAGGGAAAGGCCCAAGTGCTGGTGATCAATGTTGGTACCACTCCGACCATAGCCGACCGATACTAGGTCACCTGACAATTAGCCGCGAAGTCAGGAATCATAGACATTACAGTCTGTCTGAGTGATCGTTAGCCAAACAGCTGCTCAGTTACCTGTAATTCAAAGACTCAACCCCGTGCCAACGGATATTGGTTGAAAACTTTGGAACTCATAGATAGACATTGCTGAAGATTCCTGCAAAGGATCAAAAAACGGCACAGTGCTTCTCGATATTTGAGCATGAGACAACTTCGTAAAAGGAAATATAACATGGTGCTGTAATCAAGTTGACGACTGATTGTTGCGCGATCTGCGGTTGGAAGTATTGTAGTGTGTTTGCTTTTAAAACTCATTCGGTCACGCTATGTACATATTTATGGCCAGAATTTTTACGCTTGCGAAAATTTCTTGAAAACAGTTATCACTTTGTTAGCCGTTCTAAAGCTGAAACAAAGTTGATTTTGTTGGTCGTTTATCCGTGATCAAACTGGCCTACGTTCTATCTTTATAATGTACACTCATAAGGAAACTGGCCTACGTTCTATCTTTATAATGTACTACTCATAAGGTTGCTGAAAATCCATCGACAGCCCACGACCGGTTTCGCCCTTCTTGGGGCTCATCAGGAAGGCGCAGTCCCGGGTTTCCGTCAACCTTACGTTCTACTTGAAACCGAAGTTCTCTTGATGACGCATCCTATCGTTTTGTTACTCCTCATTACAAAGTCTACCAAACTGGTCATTCGTATTGATGTAGACAGATAGATATTTGCTGCCCCCACAACAGCTGCTACAACTTTGATCAGTTCGAAGCCATTATTTACCGATCAGCCTTTCGCCGAAAATCAACGAAAAAGCTTGTTTGCGGAAACCGTAAGGGATTCAGGATAGCCGACTATAGGCTACACCCGTAGGCTGAAAAGTGACAACCGGAAACCACAGGTGATACAGTTCAGCTGAACGAAAGCAGAACATGGCGGCCTGTCCCATTGTGATGAAAGATGTGAGAATTGAGAATATGGCAAACAGTTGCAGTGGAGAATGAAAAGTGAAAATGAGCAACGCGAATTCGCATGCAGCTAATCGGTTCCACTAGCCCAACACTAAATCGCGTTGGCATTAGCACAGACTGAGACCACTTTGAGGATAGCGACAAATGAGCGACCGCATGAAACTTAGTCAGCTGTTATATTTGGAAGCATAGACCAAGCACTCAACCTACCGGTCACACCACGGCGAGTGTTTGCTCCCCCAAATCACAACACAAATGTACTGTTGCAACATACAGCTGAATTCCCAAATCATGAAACCGGTACAGCGATAGCCCCTGAACGGTTTGCGTCATATCGGTGCCGCTAAAACGCACGTGGCCAGTGCCCATATAAACTGAGGGATAAACCTACAACAGATAGTTGGAAGGGTTACTGAAGGTTCTCAGCCAGTAACGACTCTCGGGTCTCGGATTTCTGAAACCTCGATCGCAGAATGAACACTTGGGGCAGTGAATGAATCACGTTCAAGTGTGTGTGTGTGTGTGTGTGTGGTTTGCAGTAATTAGGTGCGCATGTTCGAAAGCAAACCAAATGCAAAATTGAAACGAGTGCTCCAGAAAATTGTGGTTCATGGAGAGATTTGTGAGACCGTCTTTATTTGTGGGCAGACGTTTAAAAACCAAAGAGTAATGTGTTCATTTATCCCAAATCTATTTCATATGGTAAAGAATAGTCCGAAGTCACGTGATTAATGAAGCTGAGAAGCTTTGTATAAACTAGTACTCTCCACATTGTGAGCACTACGCGGTGAGGACTAACTCATCCATTGCAGCTGGCGGTTTCAGCATACGCCGTTTCACGTTCTAACTCAGTTACCCTCTCGACTGCCTTTTACCAAAAGTATTTATGTTTCCAGCAAAGGCGTGGAAGGGTTCGCTTCAGATCTCGGTAACGTACCTCACGTATCGTAACGACCTTTATATCCTTCCGAGTACCACATTCTACCAGTTCCCGATTTCGCTCGTCCTAGAACGCACACAGAGATGTGAAGTTTTTCGGACCATGTCTGTGATGCACGTTTCTGTCTGATGAGTCACAGTTTATTCGGATGGCTGACTTAGACGAGTACAGAGGAATTGGTAGCGTAGTACGCCCACAACATAGTGGTAATGTCACCTTCGTTGGCTATGAAGCAAGTAAACAAATTGCCAGGCTCAGCGAATAACCCATCAGTCACCAGTAGTGCTCATCCAATAATTAAACGTCAAAAATTACAGCGTTCAATAGAGATTTTATCCCGCCATCTAACCCAGCCTATGCTGAAAAGCCCAGCAGCACCGTACAGCTATTTCATCCCTATTGGGAATCATCGGCAGTGCAAACCTAATGAAACTCCGAGAGTTTCGAACCCGCAATATTCCGGCTAGTGGTTAAATACAACCGCTTGGCTACGAGTGGCTGATCAGCAGTGTGATTAGCCCTCACTTAGACGGGGCATGGTGTCACTTATCCTTCAATGCCGCAAAACCACATCACGTGGTCACGTACTGACTGGCTCCTCGAGTGACGACTTCTCACCAGATCGTTGCTCGAAGTCTGCACTCACTCACTCATCACATTAGGTAAACAGATTCATCACGTGGTGGAGACAGGTTTTAACCTCGCAGAACCGCAACCAATGTTGCTTGTTCGGGTCAGCGGGGAGCTCTTAGATCCCACAGGAATAACAATAATAGTATGTCAGTCAGTTATTCGGCTATGAACCATGTACCGAAAAGCAGCGCATCCAGCTGCTGCGGTTTCGTTCAGCGAAAATAAGAATAAGTGAGGAGCAGCCACGCGCAGGAGGCGGAAACCAACTAGCTCGTTGACCTTAGATTGTTCACCTCTAATATAGTCTTCGGAATACGGAAACGTCATTGTGTATGGATCTATCACATTGAAACATCAACCCGAAGTGAACAAAGTGACCAACCTACTTGAAGTACATCATTCAGTGCTTCGGAACACAGTCGACGGAACGCTAACGCAATCCCGATTTCTTTGAGAAGAGTGAGAAGTGCATCACTATTTTGTAAACTATTTCCCAACTGCTTGGTTTTCAGCGGGTCGTCGAAACATTCGCGTAGGGTTTCCAAAGTTGAACGATTCTGCAGAACCAGCTTTTTGATCTCGTCCACTCGATTTCCGACGTCCTGTATGAGTTGGTCGCACATGTACTTGATACCCAAAGGGCCTGGAGTAGAACCACAAGAGAAAAGTTGCGACCCTGATTAAACTCTAAAAAAACAGCCAAAAATCTAAACGGAAAAGGGACAGAAATATTACCAGAGACTACTGACGTTGCCTTGTTAGTATTGTGACTAAGTCTAACGTTCATAACATAGAACCTAGAAGGTCCTAAGGCAAGATGAAGACTGTAAATTGAAGAAACAGAAATCAGGATTCCATCTATCTTTGTGTGTCTCAGAACAACCGAGACATACCGATCAATTCAGCTAAAGCACGCAGCTCATTCAGATCAGCATAGTCCTCCGCACGGAAACGGACCACTTCCGGTGAGACCAGGGTAACGAAGCTTTTCAGCAAAGGAGAGTAGACAAAGTGGTCCATATAGGCATGTTTGAGGAAACTACCAAGGTACCATTTGGTATAGTGAGCGGTCATGGTAGGTTGTCCCTGTAAGAAGAAAGTAAGTTGTGTGAGAATAAAGGGCGAAAAACAAAGTTCACCCAGCGTTTCAGTCAGTCAGTTTGGGGAGCAAACTGATCGAAATAAAATAAAACGAAAAAGGCAGGCAAGTAGATACCTTCAAAACTTGCAGGATGGCTGCAGCTGACGTTTGGAAAAGGAGGACGACCGACATGTGATCATTTACCTTTGAACCGCCACCAGAAAACTTTGACTGGCCTGGCCGAGGCACGAACACCAATCTGCACAGCCTACTTCCAGCTAGAGTACTTCCACCAAAAATAAGGATGAAGGCAGTGTCCGATGCCTAAGCCAGATTAACAGAACATCGGTAGTTCGCCTAGTACAACGAATACACCCTGAGTTCCCATCACCCAGTGACAGTGTAGCAAGCACTATTGTCTGATGTGATCCAACAATCACAATTGCATGCACAAAGTCTATGGTGATTATGTGGAGTTCTCGGGTAGACTGATCCGCTTTAAGCCTCTAGTAAACCACTTGACGAGTGGCGCGTTGGAATCCCCTAAAGCAATGCAGTATCCCTGTTGTAAAACTGTTGAAGACTGTCCGTAATTAACTAGTTTGACACATGAAATCGTTGGGTGCCTTTAATACTCTCGTAACCATGGCAGAATAATTTCGCATTGCGCCAAACCCTTTTGTACATTCTGCCAGTACTAGATGGCATGCCAGAGGTTCACACAACAGCTTTCCTCCGACTCTAGTTGCCAGACTCTATCGGAACATGTTCGCACTTATATGTTGGCTTTAAAATCACCTGCATCACTCGTTGGCCATGGCTGTGTCAACACAATCGTTGATAGCGAAGTTTCAGAAGCTGGCTGACCGGGCTCATTGTGTATATTTGCGACACTGCAGATGTTCGCAAGAGCAATCAAACAGCCACGATGGGCTCCTGCAAATTCAAGGTGTCCCAGGGAGCGTGCAGAGACAGTGTTGTGGAAGACGAGGATTCCCACTCTACACAAGTCCTCAAACAGGGACGCCACGTGAGTCTAACAGCACTACTTTAAACGTGCCCAAATATCTCAGCATGAAAATGGTTGCCCGTTGAAGACGCTCAGCGTGGGTGGAAACAACGTCCATGAATCAGTGAAATTGTTCCACTGTGATATTGTTAAAGCAAACCGTATTACTTGAAAGCAAGGAGTAATAGAAACAGGTGACGTCGAAAGATAAGTAGAGGTTATATCTCATAGATAGGATATCTCACAGATAGGATATAGTCTCCTGAGATGTCAGTTTGTCTCGAGAATAGGCAACCATGAGACAGGAGCTATAGGAACGAGATGGATGAATTGACAGCAACTGTGTCCGGAGGTCATGATAACTGCAAAGCGATCCAGATACAATTGCTCCAATCGATCTTCACAAACGATGCTTAGGTTCCAGCAATACGTACCAAGCAATCTAGGGTGCACTGCTGGCTCCATTTCGATTAGCCCTCATAAGTGCAAGCAAGGGGGCGGGATGCTTCAGTGAACAGAGCGCGAATTCACTGACCGTAAGGTCCGTGGTTCAAACCCTACCTCTGCCTCTCGACTTCCCGTGCCTAGGCTTGGGCAACCTGGCAGTATCCCAGCCTTCGTGCTCCCTTCTGGTGGCGTGGCAGTTAGGCACCGAAAGAGTGCTACATTTGAACGATCAAGAAATCGGTGGTCGTCAAATAAAAACTCTGAAGTATTTCCACCTGAAAATTTACTAATACTCACCCTAAATGCGTCGCGTGGTTGGGTGTGTTGGGTGAAGACGACGGAAAAAATCCCAATCACGTCAATGCAGACATGGTGTTCCATGTCCACCAGCACATCCATTAAGGCTCGCACACGGCGCAACAATTCCGATGGCTTTGTTATCAACTGCTCTCCCAACTGATCACTTACAGATCTGAAGGGGAAAACGAAATCATTTGATCAGCACAACTGCGAATCACTTAAAACTCAAACTCAGAACTCAAAAACTATCCGGAATCACCCAAAACAGCGAAATCGGTTTGCAACTGAAAAACAATGCGGCGCTCGTCAAGCAAAGGGTATAGAAAACTTGATCGAGAAAAGTGCTGGGTCTAAATTGGAGAATTAGAACGTCGGTGTGTGATAGTACGAGAAAAGGCAATGACCAACACCACAGAAAGGTCCATTTGGCCAGCTTGAACCGAAGGCTCGGCTTGAACCCAGAAGACAGAGGTATATTTCACTTACCGGAATCCCCAAGTTCGAACCTCTCCCGACGATAGACTACAAGATGTTGGTTAGAGAAGGTGGGAAAACTATCCGGAAGATCATATACTGATTTGTAGCAAACGTGGGTAAATAAAAACCGTTGAGGGAAACGTTATTTTGCGACCTAAGCATCTTGGGCAACGGCATTTCCACACGATAAAAATACCGAAACTTTTAACAACCGGACTAATGAAGAATGATGGATATACAAGGTGGCACAGTCGAGGTATGCTTGGTAAAGAGAGCTACTTTATTTGAACAACGTTGAGAAGAAATAAGGATTTTCAGGTGGTTGCACAATCAAAGAAAAGAAAACAACGACTTACGTGGGTTCTGTATAGCTCGCGAGCACCTGGATAAGTCTGTCTTGGACTTCATTCTGTAACACCTCACGTGGGTTCACCACCTGGTCGTAGACGACCAACTCTCGGTGGTGATTCACTGCCTGGCACAGCTGGCTTAGTCCAAAAAGTGTGCGGTCATTTGCCGTTTGTTCTTCACGGTTGCGCCGAAAACTTTCCACCCCGGGAAGAAAACGTGGCTCATTGTCAGACGCGCTTGAACCAGCCTTCCCACTGATTGTGGGGAGTCCTTTTGGATCGGCTTTCGTCTTAGTTAAGTCGGATGTTGAACCATTGTTGAGATTCGTCCGGCCAGCACCACCAACACTTTTCTTTCCCTTGCGTTTCAACTGTTTTTGATCAGGTAGCAAAGATACAGCATTTTGTGGGGCCAATTGGTCGGCCAACAGACCGAATTCATCAACACGGGCTAGCAGATTTGCGCATACACGGTCTGCTATCTCTTGACAGAAATGCTGAGCCCGACGGACAGAGCTGGGACCCAAAAATAGCCGCTCCTCCGGGCAAAGGTCATGACATGCTTGAATGGTATGACAGCACAAGCTGGGAAAAACTATTGTGAATCTCAGCTGAGCAGGGAATTGAATGCAACGTGCGAACAGCTCGGAGAATGGAACAGGATAAAAGCTGAAGATGGACAGATCGGAGACTAGACGCAACAGTTCATCCAAATAGTCCACGAGTTTTGTGTGGAAAATTGTGGAATGAAAGTGTTCGACCAGACGGCGATGGTCAGCCAAATTAATTGATGCATCTTTGCTGGACAAACTGGCCTGAAGACGTAACCAATCCAGTCGTATGGCAGAAAAGTCAAACAGTGCGAACTGGTCGCCAGAGTATTGGTTGGCATTTTGCAACACTTCGTGCTCCGATAAATTGGACAGCTGTTTCGTTATGCTAGACACGATGACACCCTCTTCATTAGATAATCGGGGCATCGCCTCTCGGGCGTATTCAACAAGACCGGGAGCATCATAGCAAGCCAGAAGTTGAAGATAAAAACGTTGAATCACCGAAGTGTATCGAATAACAAGCATTCGTAACTCTTCCATGTAAAACAGTAGTTCAGGCAAAAACGGATCGCTATACTCCTCCACTGGATTTACCCGGGAAGTGCCTCCGCCGCTAGATTTCTTCGGGGGTGGATGTGCAATATGTCTGAGCAACCAATGAACTTCATCTGTTGAATACGACAGACCCCAAAAGACCAGGAAGGCTTTGGGGCCAAGTAATCCAGGTTCATCGGCCAGCAGCAGATGCAACTGGCGCAAAGCGGAACGCAAATAGTTCCGGCGATCTGCATGGACCTCGAGTGTTTGCGAACAGGCAATGGACAGGGTTTCTTTGATTTCATTGATTCGCTTAACAGCCACTTTATTAGTCCAGACGGACTCCAAAAAGGACTGTATCAAAGAATGAATGTAGATAACCTCATCCCGGAACAACACAACCACGTATGTCTGCCTAAGAGCAGTCTTGAATCGACTGAAAGCATCCTCATCGCTAAGGTCTTTGTAGATAAGTAAGTAGCCGAATATGACCCAGCGTTCCATCATCTCGTATGGAATGAGTTCGCAAGCCAACTGATCCCCAAGAACCGTGTGCCCAATTTTGCTTGGCTCGTGCAAGATGTTCAAAAAATGTCCATCACTCCAATTCTGAGCACGAACAGTACGTCGGACGAAGAAATCACTCAGTGAATTCAATGCCCTCATGAGAGTGCGGGAATGAGGGTTGACATCAGCATGTAACAGCTTTAACATTGACTCTGGTGTCTCAGTGAATAGTTCAGCCATTCGAGGGAAGTTTGGCTCGGGTTTTCCATTTAGCTGATCGTAGATAAAATTGAAGAGAGCCAAGATGGCTTTCGTGTCTGCAATCCGAGTGATTAAAAACATCATAGCAAAGTAGTTGCTGATTAATTCCAAGTACAGTCTAGTCAGATCAGAATTAATGGTGATGTCCAACTGAATATGTGCGCACCCAAAACGGCCAAGGGTGTCGCTCACATTGTCTCGAACTTCTAGGACATCAACGAAATTGTAATAATAGGAGGACAGGATACCCGCCAATTCTTTCTGGTGCGTGATAAATGGCTGCACACTTGACTGACTACTCTTGATCTCAATAGAGGGAAATCGCTTCAGGAGAAATTTCCATGCCGATTCGAACGTCTTATCACCTCCAGGCATGAATGCGGGTCGACATTCTGAGGTGTTTAAAATTTGCTTCATGTGGTGAAGTCGAGTAAGCACACCCAGCTGACGGTCATTGAGAATGAACAGGCGTTCTGCGAGTTTTTGGTGACTAATCGTTGTTGCCATGGTCTGAAAACGAAAAAAGCAAATAAGTAAAGTTCACTCAACATTTTGAAAAAAGCAAATAAGTAAAGTTCACCTCAACATTTTTTTCAAAAAAGGAGGAAGCTTAAATGAGAGGACATGCACCTGACAAAGTAAGCGCACATAAGTCAGATGTCAGGAAGTCACATGTGAAGAAAGATAAGCCCACGCTATTTTCAACGAGCACCATTTGGATTGAAGCACTCGAAGTACGGAATAAAAAGACCCACAGCAACACCCATACATTAACTCCACACCTTTGTTCACGACCGGGTTAGTTGCTCCTCAGGTGTTGTCGATCAATGACCACAGTAGAACTTTCAGTGTTTGACGGAGAATCCAGTACCCCCGAGAAAGAATTTAACATATTTAAAACTACTGTCCATCCTTGTACAACTAGTGCGTAGACAGACGTCTATAATGAACAACAGAACACACTCGCTAGGGATATGCATGCCTTTCTTGTTCGCTTCCAGGTGGCCCCAAGCCACCCGGAAAAAATTTTCCAAAATCAACTTGTGTGTTCGAGATCGTGGAGCAAGCGGCTCCGAATGACTGAATTATACAGATAGGTTGCATGTGTCACCAGACACACTGGTGGGGAAAGGATATAAACAAAAATAAAAAACAACCGTCCAGGTGAGGCACACTTCCAGTGCACAACCGCAACAGGGCTGAGATATTGTCAAGTTGCCAAAGCCTAGGCAAGAATGAACAAGAATAGAAAGTTTGGTTCGAAACGTCTAAATTCCGCTCAGAGGAGAACAGAGGTGCTTCAGTGCTGTACAGCCATGACAACTTAGCTACAATAAAAATCAAAATACTAAGAAAAATATGGGACACCCAACTCGGAGTGGTAAAAGCAGAGGTGGTCTGAAAGGAACAAGAGATCTATTACGAAAAGTTCGGATACTGTCGGTGAGATTCACATTTGGGAAGGAGTCCGCGTGATCCCCTTGTGCGTGGCTGGAGACGTTGCAACACATAGTAGTTAATCGACCTCAATGGTATTCTTGTCGGTTTCTACCCAGATTGTCAGGATAGGTGCTTGAAGATGTAGGTTGTCACTATGAGCCGGTCAAAACTGGATCTTTTCTCACTCAATCTTATGTTCCTCTTTACAAGAATTACGACAACAACAATTACGATTGCACAGTGACGAGGCATCACTACTGAACATTGATGCATTTTCGATAATGATAATGTCCCTTACAGCGAGTTCTCGTTCGAATCACTCCCACCATCGCTGTATACAGATAACCATCGCGTGTTCACCTTGTAATTGGACTATTGGCGCATTCTGCTTACTGTGATTAACGGATTTTCCCTGAAATCAGCTCACTATCGAGTCGCACACCCTATAACAAGCACAAAGCCGTAAAGCAATCACTGCTTCATCTATCGTGCTGTCCGCACCATACTTTCATCGCGATTGTGGCGAGTAAAGGTACGAGTACTGTGCAGAGCTCACAAGATAGAACTGGGTAGTTAGGTATGCAGCTACCGCATATATTCAATCATTAGTGGCTATAAAGAGATTAACGAGCAACACGGCATACTTGGCACTTACAAAAACCTGAAAGTCAAAATGAACATTGTCTGTGTAGGGGTGGACTTAGCGACTTATCCCCTTGTCTAATTGTAGTAGCATAACAGGCTCGAAATAAGGACTCAAGCAACACCAACCTATATAAGATTCCCGGAACACAGAGAAGCAACAACACGCCGAGGCTGGACGATACCCCGTAAAAGACTTTCGGTTCAGCTTCCAAGTGTGTCCTGTCACCGATAACGCAGACCATCGAAAACGTCCTAGAAGTAGAGGACGGCTTAGTGCAAGCCAAGCGAGCAGCTGAGATGGTAAGGTATATTGATCACCATCCACAACCCGGCCACGATTGCCCAAATGCAAGAGGGTCAAACACCGCCTCAGCATCATGGGTGTCAGTCAATCGCAGGAAAGCTCAACTTAGTTCCAAATGATTATTTTACGCTCAGCCAGAACGTTAACAACACAGCCAGAAGACCAACATACCTTGCGACAGTGTTCAACTGGAGTTTAGCCGAGGAGCGCTCAAAATACTTAACTCGGTTAAGAACAACCATGCATCACCAGCTCAAAGAGTAAATGATTTTCTCAGTAGCATTCCTCGGGAAAAGTTCTAGGTCTCCGGCCGATATTCTCGGCAACTCCTGTGGATAATCAGAGTACCAGATGAAAAACGCACCATATCACTGAAAGGTCACCGGGCGCAACTGACGGTGTGGAAAGAAGTCTCCTGGCATCAACGTACCTCCAAAAACTCAACTTGAAACTCTGCACTGAACAGTACTTTCCCTGGGAAGTAAACGCATGAAAGCTGGCGAACGAGGACAATACCGACCCCAACCCGAAAAAAGGGGGCAAAAGATAAAGATAATTGTCTAGCTGTAACACACTTTGTGTGTCTAGCTACCATGCCACTCGAAGGAACCGCGAAGGATGGATTACTGCCAAGATGCCTATGCCTAGACAGAAGAAATCGAGATACAGAGGTCGGGTTCTAACCAAGGACCTTTCGGTCAGTAAATTCGAGCTCTAAGCACTGAACTATCTCGATCTCCGGGTAGTAGAGTCCAGTACAACTAACAGCCAGTCACGAAGTCCAACAGCTGACATTCATCCGATTCTAGGTGAAGCTATCGGTGTAACGGTGGATGCCACTGATGGGGCATGCGAGTAGTATGTTTTCTCGTAAATCCGCTTCGCGTCTCTTGAAAATTGAGACTTATTACGGAATCGCTTGCATTTGAGTAACAGTCAGTGAATATCCAGGAGGACGCGTTCAGGGAGATGGATATTCAGTTTTTGTAAACAAGATGCATGAGAGTTTTGCTTCCTGTCCAATAGTCTGTAACTGTTCACTTGGCGTTTTCTAATAACTCCACAGCGAAGGCCTTCTTCCTTTCATCGGTAAGGGACTGTGATGCATAGTTTGTCCAGTAGCTCCTTAGGGCGGCTGATCTTAGCACCCAGACTACTAAGATTATATCTCTTCACCTCTGGGAGACGCGGGACCGTACCACAGAGGTAGTGCGAGCTTCACAGCAACTTCCATTGCGAAGTCACACGCCACCTGCAAAAACCTCGAGATGAGCTTCAACGAACTCAGCCACAGAATTCAATTCTATCCGGCCGTCAGAACGCCCCATCATCAACAACCACACAACTTGAAAACACGCCGAGAAACGTGCTGACTCGCGAGGAATTGGCATGCACCATGCTCCAGTGAACGTACCCTGTTATAAGTTGAGGAGAGCTCATGCAATAGTATGGTATATCATGTACAAAAACATTCATTTGAGGAGGAGAAACTCCGGAGAACTTACTAATTTCGCGGATAAAATGCATCCCACTCATCTGTGGTTGGAACCTGGCTTTGTCCAGATATAGTCAACTCAGAGGTTGCTACCTCAGGATATTTTCTGCCGGGAAATGACCGTATAGATAGCAAGAGTGGAGGTGTAGCTATGCATACATCTATGTCGTCAGGTACGTCCCCCTCAAAGATCCAGAACAGTAATCTCACTACCCGCAACTCCAAAACAACTGAGACTCTAGGGGAAGCCTCCCGAGTAGCTGCTTCTGGCTTGAGATCCACTTTGGCCATCGCCATAGACCTAAATTTTCCAGACGCAGACCTTACAGCTAGACAGAACCAAGGCCACCAAGGCTACGAGCTGCTATATACTGTATTAGAACACGGTATAGACGAGCAATTACAGCACGAGCAATTACACGCCACTCGGCGTTGCCGATTACACCATTTTACCAGTGCCATTAACCATTGGTGAGGTGGTGAGTTGAGTACCAGGGTCATCATCATCATCGACAGCATGACATTAGTGCTCAACACCGATGCTTCACTGCCGTAAGTCCCAGGGTCCCCATCCAGGGAGGCGGTAGTTGTCGACCCGACTTAGCTTACTGTCAACCTCTCGGTCGGTTCCACTCAGTACACGGCTGGGCGAAAACAGATATGCGAGGCAGACGGTCTACTGGCGTGCGCAGTACGTGTCCTAACCAGCGTTACCCATGAATCAAGAGTAAGTCCTCTGGAGTCGCGGGAGTTGCTTCTCCCTAAAACCATCTAGAGTACCTAATCCGATATTCCCACCAAACCCTAACAGTGCTTCGGAGACACCGATGGCCACTGACAACTTTCGTATGACCTCTGCGCGTAGAGGTCACGTCTCCGATCCATAAAGCAGTGTGGATCACACTCCTACATTGTAAACTCTGCCCCTGGCAACAAACTGACGTCACATCGATGCCATGGGTGTGTGAAGTTGGCAAAATCTGTCCTGGCCTTCCTGATTCGAGAAGTAATCTCATCTCCAGCTAGTTCATCGGAATTTATAGAACTGTTCAAGCAAACAAATTGATCTACCACGTCGATTGGCTCATCTGCAAGCATGAGGTTTGATTTTGGTCCCACCCAGTTATCTAGCAACACTTTACACCCTGCCTGTGTGAAGCGCATGCCAAACCCTGCGGCAAAATTATATAGGCTATGTTAAATGGTATGTATTTTTCAAAGGAGAGCAACGTCTGTGAGCGAACGCCCCGGAAGCATTTCAAACACTGAGGTTTCAGAGGCAGGAAGCATTATTCGACGCAGCATATAAATAACAAGGTTGAATGACAAAATCGGGAGAGGGCATCCTCGTCCTACACCACTGGATCTGGTGTGGCGCGAGCTTGGCGGATACTCGTAGGCAACCACGGGAGTCCGCATACAGTGCCGTCATAAGGGATATAAATTTGGAAGTGATGCCCTTAGTCGCCAGACACCGCCAAAGTTCCTGACGACCGACAAAATCGAAGGCAGCTTTCGGATCAAGAAGAAACGATAAACATAGGATGTTTGAAAGAGTGGTGCTGTTCAAGAATGTGTCTAAAGGTTAAAAGATAGGGTTGATGCATCCTCGGTCAGGGTGAAACCCAGTTTGATTCTCACGGATGAATCTCCCCCGATA